AGTGAAACTCATTTTCCTGAAGCAGAATGGGAACACAGAGAGAAGCGGAAGAGGAATTTGTTTGGGGAAGGCGGAGTAGTACAGGAGAAGGCAAAGAGGCCGAAATAGGTGGAAACATGGGGGGTGGGAGCAGACAGAGACAGATGGACGGAGTAGAGACAGGGACGGGAGAAAGGGAGATGACTGCTAGTGACCGGCCTTTGTAGATGACTGTTGTTGCTCACTTTTGAGTCAGCTTCACTGAGGCAAAGTCTTAATGACTCATGACCCGATACTCCGCTTAATCAAGCTGTGCCTGTGTGGGTCTGCGTGTGTGTGAGCGTGCGTACGAGCCACTAGTCTTGTAACAGAGAACTTTATTACCATCTGTTCCCACACATGCTTATTTGTTTAGCCCTGACATCCACGTCTTCTTCAATCGCTTTGCTATTTTTTCCTCTCCCACTCTGTGCCTCTTCCAATCACCTCTCCTTTTGTGTGTGTACCCCCCTCTTCCTCCTCCACCCCTCGCTGACTGCGTGGAGGGGTTGTGTTCCAATAAATAGCGTCCGACCCAAAAAGGAAAAAAAAAAAATCAGGGCCATTATCTCCGCGGCTTCCTAACTACCTCGCTCGTCTTGGTGACATGGAATCGCGCTCCAGCCATTTTAATCAAAGCATGTGTGTGTGCATGTCAGCCTGTCTGAATGTGTTTGTGCGTGTGTGTGTGTGTGTGTGTGTGTGTGAGTGCCTCAGTACCTGTAGAGGCCATTAGGTGGAGCTGGTGCTTGGCTGAAAGAAAGGGACAGAGGCAAGATGGATAGCTGAGCGCAACGGAAGGGAAGGCTCAGTCTCTTCTACCTGGTATCACAGATTTTCCTGGCAGTGTTTGTGTGTCTGCTTTTAAAGGTGTCCAAGTGTGTTGTAGGCTGGATTGCTTGTGTCCAAGGGAATCAATTATTCATGGTACAATGAGTAGTAGAAGTGTTGATTACAGACTTAAAAAAAGCAAAAGCAGAAGAATAAGTAATATTATTTTTCTTTTTTTTTGTAACCTTAAATAAAAGCACAGGTGTGCCATTAACAAGCATCCAGCTAGCCCTACCTTCAAAAACTAAACAAAAAGAAACGCCTTCACTCAAGACCATATTATAAAACAGACTGTGTTTAAGGACAATACCAATATCAATTACTTTCACACGTTTACCTGTGACAGCATTTTGAGTTTTAGTTTTCGCAAATGTGCTGGAAATCAGCGAGACTCTGTGTGAAATTCCTCACAATAAGATACTGACACCTCGGATGAAACACGCAGATCTTCCCTCTGATTTGTGAAAAAAAACAACAACAACTCACACACAAACACGCACAGCACAACACACAGACGCACATGCACCTGTGCGACCACAGATCTTGTTGGCAGTTGAGAGAAAAAGGGACGGTAGCCTGGAGGAAGGGCAGGTGTCCACAGATGGAGCTCTCTCTGTCTCTCTCTCTGTGTCACAGATGGACCCAATCACACCTATTTCTCTCTCACATGCCCTATAGCTACATAATCGGTGTGTGCGTGTGACTCTGACTTGTTTATTGTCACATTAAAAAAAAAAGAACGAAAAAAGTGTATTCTGAATTAGCCTCTAAATATGCATACGTCTAGCCTACAGCGGCGAGCGAGTGTTGTTTTTTGTGGGTGAAGCAGAGGCTGAGCAACGAGGCCACGCTAGACATCTACCCCACCTATCAGTCTGCGCGTCGGTCTGCTCGGAGCCAAAGTACAACTTACGGCAAATATGCTCACAGTCGGACGTTGTCATCATCGCGGTTTAGGACAACTTTTAATTTTTTGTATATCTAGTGACAGCTGAACACGTGCGAGGCGGCCTGCGGGGGGTTTGTCTGTCTGAGATAGCGGGGGTTCCCGCTAGCCAATGGGACCACACAATCTGTAAAGCAGGAAGTGAACCACCGATCTGTCATCTGTCTTCATAAACCCACCAGTCAGGACCCTCCTAATTAGTCACCATAGAAACCATGGCTAATTCCCCGGTCTGCCATGCCAATCACGTCCTGTCTGTGGCAGCAATCAGAAAGGCACATTTATCCACCACTGGGCCGGATCCCTGTAACAGATGAGTGTGTGTGTGTGTGTGTGTGTTTGGTGGGTGGCTTTGTGTGCATGTGGATGCGTGTGGGCGGTTCAGGGAGTTTGTATGAGCTTGTCAAAGGCTTGTATTTCCTTAGACAATGTTGCCTTTATCTTAAAAAAAAAAACCACACGCACACACATGCGCACACATTACGGCTGTCTAGCTTGTAAATTCATAATGTTTGTTCAGATAGGAGGCAGATGTGTCAGAGCTGCTGAGAGGGGTGTGTGCCACGTTGTGATTTTCTGTGGGAACTGTTTGATTAGCCTGACGAGTGCTAGCAATCCCCACACACCCACAAAGCAATCAAACAACTATTATATGGCTCGCACACAAACACAAACACGTACATGGATACAGACGTAGAGATGTGCCGCAGACGTGCTTAACCTTTCCCTCGGAGGTCAAACTGTTTGGTCAAACAACACCGCCACGCTAAAGATGACCCCTGCGGGTCCGTTCACACGTGGGAGTTGAGACTCATCAAGCCAGTTGGATTTTTTTTTTAAATAAATGAAACCCACATCTAAATAGTCAATCAATTGATCAACAGCGGATTAGAAAGGCAAATAGCTCGAAATAACCTTGTAAATATTGAAGAACACACAGACGAATACATTATAGATCGACGTGGAGGGGGTGGAGAGGGGGGACAACCTGTCCCATCCATTTCTCCCCATCAGCTGCTTGTCAATCACTGCAATCGCTGTCAATTGGAACGTGCTCACCAGAAGGCTGGGGTGGCTGACACACAAAGATGCTCTTACAATCAACTTCAAATCAATAAAAAAAACCCACTCGGAATCGCATCCGAACGGCGCATGCTGGCATTCACGGATGCCAATCATAACTTCAAGGGCACATCAAAGCCAGGTTCTATTCAGATGTATGCCCTTTGATCACCACCACTGCCTCCACCGTGCACGCACATTCTCGCACTTCGCCATATGTATATATATAAAACCTGTGATATAACGACAAGTCATTAAAATTAAACATGTGCAGGCTGGGAAAAAAAACATAAATAATTCAAGATCCGTGTGTGTTCATCCACAGCAGACGAATTACAGGGGTTTGCGTAGAGTGAAGTTCGAGCGTGGCTCTATTGTTCCCGCTGTCTGCAAAGAACACAGCACCATGCCATCTGACCGCTGTAGTGACAAAGAAGTATCCGAGAGTCCTACCTGTCTCGTGAGAGAGGGTCTTGGTCCTTCCTGTGTTGCCTGCGTGATGCATCGCTCCGTACTTGTCGCTCTTTCTCATTAACCCTCTACCCTTATCTCCTCTCCTCCACGCTCCACTCCTCTCTGTTCCCTTAAGAGTCCTCTTTTCTTGATTCTCAATCTTTTGCACTCTGTTTTCTCCCTCTTATCAAAGTCCTCGCTGTCTGTCGCCTCTGCCTCGCTGTTTTTCTTCTTCACTCTTGATTTCCCTCCCTTCTCCTCTCTCTGCCTATTTCAGTGAGCTCTGTGAAGCACAATCCGCTAGCTGAGTGCTGGAGCACCGCGCAGGAGCAGAGAGAGAGAGAGAGAAAGAGACACAGAGCAGAACGAAGAGCTACGAGCACACGCACGCACACACACACACACACACATGCGCGTGCTCGCACACACACTTGCGCTATGTGGATCAACACACTTGCGCACGTGTAGCTGTTGCTCTGCAGAGATGAACGGCACAACACCAAAACACCGGGGGGGAAAAAAATGATGAGCGCAATGCCCTGCACTGCTCTCCCTGCTTTTCCAGGAGACTGCAGGTCTTTTTTGTCTCCCCTCCTGCTTCTAGTCCTCAGTCCTTTTTTTTGCTCAATCCGTCACAGATCAAGGCCAACTCGGGCACAGGGGAATGGATGGATGAGAAAACACTGAGAGTGAGAGCGCCTTTCAGCCTGTGGCAGGCAGCGCAGAAGACAAGGAGAGATGTGGCTGTGGCTCCATCCTCCATCTGCCCACAGCTGAGACTGAGAGCAGACTCAACACACACACGCACACACACCAGCTCCCTCGCCCTCTCTCTCTCTCGCTCGCTCTCTCTCCCTTGCTCTCCCAGCAGCGATGCACCAGCGAGATGGAGGGGGAGGAAGGATGACGGCGGGAACTAACGAATGAGCCGAAGGAGAAAGAGAAAAGGGGTTGGGGTGAGACAGTGAAAGAGGGATGGTGTAGTGGTAGAAAGGAGGAGGAGGAGTAGGAGGTGGCAACGAGGGCGGCAACACGCAATGGAGCCCACGAGCGCTAGAGAGAAAAAGAGTGACAGAATCATGGGAATGTGACAAAGCATGCACATTAGAGGAGAGGGGAAAGGATAGAACGGTTACGAGGAAAATACAAGGGAGTGGGTGTGAGAGAGGAGAGAGGGAAAAAGAGAGGAGGAAAGGAAAGGTAGGAGAACAGGGGTGAGGTTAAAAGGAGAAAAGACGAGGCAGCAAAGCGGAGACGTGGAGCAGGACGGGGGGGGAAGGAAGGGCAGAGGACACTGCGGCGCTGAAGCCGGTAATATGTCAGATCTCACATGGGCACGCTCACATCCACACCGTGTGCCTAAAAAGGAACGATACAATGTCAAACAACGCAGGACGATGGCAGCCGGTGAAACAACACTTTTTAAACCTCACAAGATAAAATAAAAAAGTGGTACTTTTCATTTTTCTTTAAAATAAAAAATCATAAATTATTTGTTCAGTGACAGACAATGATAAACAGAACCTCGCACATCAAGCTTGTCAGACAAATCTTCGAAAATACAAAACTGTACTTTCTATCTCTATAAATGGACTCCGGCCAAAGTCTCAGGTGGGAGGTTACCAGGTGAGTGAAGGTCCTCGCACTGCCCAGCAGAGGGCACACATCTAGTCAAATGTCAACCACAAAAAGAAAAAAAAAAAAGGCTGAGGCCAACCAACTCATCATGTTTTTACAATATTAGCATAACCCCACATGATTAAACACATTAATCAACATTCAGTATGCATCCAGGCACATCATTTAAGACACTTATCAGACATTATGCAGCGATGCATCTTCAAAGCTGCTCATCAGATATTTCAACGCTACTATGAAAGATATATAAGCTAGTCATTGGTAAGCCAGTCTGTGCGTTCCTCTGTTTTTGCACGCTGGAGAACCAATGTGGAAGGTAAACTTTGCTATAAGTCGGACAACAAGGATGCCGCTCAAAAAGAAGTGGATGCTTATCAAACAGATACAGTCTTGCATGCGGTGAGGAGCAGGTATGAAGCTGCTACGCAGGCAAAGAATCCGGTGTGTGTAGTAATGAAGAGAGAGGACGAGATGAGCAGGTATGACCCATAAGGCTCTACTCCAGGGGACCACTGTCAGCCCCATTTTCTATTTCTTCATGCAACATTCTCACACGCCATTCATCATCCTCAACGAGTCACGTCGTGACTTGTGCACAATGTGCCGCTGCGGCATCCTGGTGTGCGCACACTCCGGTTGATATGTGGGGGCATGTACACACATGCTCGCACATATGTATGCGGAGACCAAGAGCCGCGCGCACGCGTGCAGGTACTCTCCCTCGGCACCCACGCTAGCAGGTGCTGAGAGTCGATTTACAGCGGGAAAAGGAAGGGGTGGCGATTGGGGTGCCGGCGGAAGAGGGTAGAAGGGAGGGGTATGGGGGGGGGGTTATGACTTCATCATATTAAAGTTGAGAGCGCAGCCTGGGTAGAATCGGAGGGGGTGCAGGAGGAGATGCTGGATTTTTAGATGAGGTTCACGTCGATTTGTCATGATAAAGAAAAAAAAACATCTGAGAGAGAAACAAATTGCTTTTTTGACAACACCTTGTAATACTCCATCATGCACACACACACACACACACACCCACCCCTGCGCATATACACATGTTCGTACACACGCGCAAACACAAAGCAATGCATTTTCCTCAAGCTGGCTATTTATCAATGCCATTCAGCATCATTATACCTGGCATATCTGTATAACCATATATATCAGGTGTATACATGTATGAGAGCTACACACACAATTTCCCCACTCAGTGTGAAGTGCTCACTGGAGAGGCCGTTCAACCTGTAGTTGAAGTATAGAGGACACAAGGCTGTGCGGAGAGGATGTAAAGAGAAGCAGACGTATGTGTTAAAGAAAAGAATATGCAAAGGTCACACAGGCAAAGGTGAGCAAGGCTCATGTAACTGCATGAGCTGAAGCGAAACCTGTGCAGCCTTTATGCAGATTTATATTCCTTCTTTCTTTTTCTTCATCTCACTATTACACTCACAGGTTAATATGGGGTTTCTAGAGCTCAAACAAGGCAGTCTAAATGGAAACCTGTCAATTTATATATTCCTAGCAGGTCATTGAGTACTTTTTTCCCCTTTTTGTGCTCTCTATTCAACACTTAGTTTCTTTCTTCCCTCAGTGACACTTTTTGTTCTTTCTTCCTTACTTTGCTACCATCCACCTACCTTCTCGTTTCTCCCACTACTACCCGCCTCATGAACTGAAACACCAGGGGATAGTGGGTGAAGAGGAGGGGAGAGGGCAGGTCTGCTGTAAGGTGCCCCATGGGTTGAACATGGTCATTTGTCATGAGGCTGAAAGCTTAAGAAAAGACTAGTTAACCTTTACAGCTGATTCCCGCGAGACGGGAAAGAACACAGCCAGGCAAAACACCTCCAGGAGAAGGCGGAGCGTACATGCATGTGTATACACACACGCACACACACACATGCACACACGCATGCATGAATGGCGCTTGCGGCATAGTCTCCAGAAATCGATATCTACGGGAAGCAAGAGAGGTTACTGTTTTTACACCACCACACCACCCTCCCCGACTCGCTTTTCCCTCGGCATAAAGACTCAGTGTCTCCGTGGTCCTTTTCCTTCCTCCTTCATCCCCCCCCC